AACATCATCAGCTACCTACTGACCAGATCAATTTAGCTGGCCTCTTTCACAAGATGCAGAGTGGTGACTCAAACCCCTGCCCTCAGATCTGCAGATGTTTTTCCAAAAAAGGATGTGTAGTCAAGTCAGGTCCAATATAATGGGAACCCTTCCTGGAGGTTCTAAGTATAAAATTATCAAAGGTAGTACAGTGGACCCTCTACTTACAGAATTAATCTGTATTGGAATGGTGACTGCAGGTCGAAAAGTCTGTAGGTCGAGTCTCCATTGACGTGCAATGCATTGAAAACTGATTAATCCCGTAACTGGCCGTTTTTGTTCCATTTTTGTTCCATTTTGATTTTTTCTGGTCTGTAGGTTGATTCTCTGGCTGCAAGTTGAACCTAAATTTTGTGGCCAGAGAAGTCTGTAACTCGAAAAGTCTGTAAGTGGAGCCATCTGTAAGTCGAGGGTCCACTGTATTGGGAGACTATGCAGCTTACTGAGGGCTCCACAAATGGCAGAGTGGTCAATCCTGCTGTCCCCTTTTCTGGGAAGGGACAACGGGGACTCAAACTCTTCCAGAGCCATATATTCTAACCAACTGAGCCATATCAGAAATCACTAAATTTCAATAAAAGCTGTTTTCTTTGAGAATCTTGATATCTAGTGATTCTGCTCTTAAATAAGTGTGGCAATCTACAGTTTCCTTCTGAATTCAACTTCTACTTTTCCTTCTAAAAATATACTATTAGATTCCAAGAGGATTCCTTTTAACTTTTTGTGAGGGAGTCAATTTTGAACCATGAATAGCATCTTTGTCTCGGGTCTTTATTAGAGGCTTTTACAATGCATTCAAAAGGCTGTAAAGTTGGCATGATAGAGAAAATAGAGGCAAGTGGTTTTTTTAGGGATAAATGACAACATTACCACCTTTTGAAAACAAAAGGAAGGAAATTTAGGCTTCTCCCTTGATTGTAAGGAAGTTGGTTTTCCAATTACAATGAAAGAAAAGGGAAGAAGTTTAGAGTACACAGTAATTTATTGGCATTTGTGCAGACAGATGGCTTTGATAATTTGTGAATACTGTAAACATTACAGACAAATAAAACAATAGCAATCCATGCAATAGTTTAAGGTCTCTATATCATTCTTTCAATTTGTTACTAGGATACATTTTTTAATCTGAAGGATTAAATAAATTTAATTTTAATAACAAGTCTTATAGACTAAATTGTGTCCTGATTGCTTAGGTTCCAAGAATTTGTGTTAATCAGAGACAGGGGCCAAATTTCCTTTTGCTTAACATCATAAATTGCACTAAAGTAGGCCCTTTGAATCAATGGGGATGTCGTGAATCAACTACTCTGTAAATTTTATTGATTCAAATGGGCCTACTCTAACTGCAACTTATTGTGCTAAAGTATGTTGCAGCTAGAGTAGGCCCATTGAATCTGAAACTTATGGAGGAGTTGACCTAGCACATTTCCATTGATTCAGTGGGTCTGCTCTAGTGTGATTTATTATGCTAAGCAAGCAACAGAATTGTGGCCTGAAAGTACTACATTTAAAAAAGCATCTCACGTAGAGTTATGCTGTTCAAGTTTTAAATATTTAGGAATATGAGTAACCAAAAACCAAATCAATTAATTTGCAGAAACTATAAAAATGTATTTAAATTGGCAAAAGAAAAAATGGCAAAGTACGTCAATCTGAACCTATCAATGTTGGGAATAATTGCTGTAATTAAATCATATATATTACCAAAATTTCAATTTCTATTCCACAATATTCCACTACAGCTGGGTATAAAAAAGTAAAGCTATGGCAAAGAAAGTTAGAAAAATTTATTGCAGGAAAGGGAAAGAAGATAAGGTCTATAAATAGTGTTAAATATAAACAGGGTCTAAAAGGGGAATTAGGGATACCACAGCTTCAAAAATATTATGAAGACTCTACACATAAACCTCTTATGAGAAGAGAAGACTCCCTGGAAAAGACCTTGATGTTGGGAAAGTGTGAAGGCAAGAGGAGAAGGGGACGACAGAGGACAGTATGGCTGGACAGTGTCACCGAACCATCCAACATGAATTTGACCCAACTCTGGGAGGCAGTAGAAGACAGGAGGGCCTGGCGTGCTCTGGTCCATGGAGTCACGAAGAGTTGGACACAACTTAACACCTAAACAACAACAAAACAAATAAACCAAATTATTAAATTCATACAAATGGACGAGACTCATAAGAATCCTAATTGGATGGAAATGGAAGGTGAAAGGAAAATAAACATAGTAAATAAATATATTTATACCACCAAAATAATTAGAAAGGGAGAACAAATACAGAACCTGTTAATTTATGAAACATTAGAGATATGGTGTAACACAGTAAAACGTTGGCCCTGCTATCTCATCCTCTTTATGCCCTCTGTCCTTCCTCCTGGTGGTGCTCTGGGACTGCAAAGCATGCCCCAGGCAGGTTGCCCCCCCCCCCAAGATTTTAAATCTCAAGAGAAATATGCACAATTTAAGGAGTGGAAACAAATTGGAATATATAGAATTATTGACTTACGTGACTCAGGGGAACCAATCACTATTAGACAAATAGCAAACAAAGCATATAAAAACCAATCAGTTATAAATAAAACAAATAAGTTTCACGATTTACTCACAACAAAAACCTGGCTCTCTAACCAAATTTGAACAGTATTTTATCCAAAAAGATAAAAATAGAGAGGCCTAACATCACTAATATATAAAAGTATTGTTGAGAAAGAATATGGAAAAGGTGGAGGAGCTAAAACAGTGGGGGAAACAAATTTATATATTAATATACCTGCGGAAGCCTGGACAGGGATATGGAATAAATACCCATATAAATCAATATCAGCAAATGTGAAAGAAATGGTTCTGAAGGTAGTGCATCGGTGGCATCTATATCCTACAGAATTACCTAGAATTAATAAAGATATATCAAATAAATGATGGAGGAACTGTGGTCAAAAAGGAACTTTGGAACACATGTGGATATCTTGTCCCAAAATAGAAGCATTCTGGTGTGAAGTAATAAGGTGGATAGAGACGCTGATTAATGAAAAAAATAAACATGAATGAAACATTATTGTTATTCTCAATATTTACTGGGGGAAATGTGAAACTTGAAAATAAAGAATTAGTAGCAAATCTTATAGGGACAGCAAGGTCTGAGATTGCTAGAAATTGGAAAAATGCCCAAGATCTCTCATTGCATGCATTTATGAATAAGATATGGCACACTGATGGAAAAAATGACTAATAAAATTTAATTATATAGAGGAGAAATAAGGCATAGTCAATTCACTGAAAACTGGGAGCCTTCATTAAAATATGCCAATAAAATAAATGTGGAAACATGTGTCTCAGAAAACAATTTGGAGCATTTAAATTGTTGGTCGATATTTCTCTAAAATGAAACAGGGAAAGGTGTAAATGTGACTTTATGAAATGTGGGAATAGCAGGTGGTCAACAGTTAAATTACATAATAAGTAAGATGACAGATTACTATATTAAGCCTTGCATGTATTGTATTCTTGAAGCTTTTACAGCTGGGATACTGTGGTTGTTATCGGTTTTTTGGGCTGTTTGGCCATGTTCTTAAGGTTTTTCTTTCTAACGTTTCACCAGTCTCTGTGGCCGGCATCTTCAGAAGACAGGAGTCAGAACTCCAGAGCACAGACAGAGTCCCTACTCCAATCCTCTGAAGATGCCGGCCACAGAGACGGGCGAAATGGTTAGGAAGAACAACCTTCAGAACACGGCCAAACAGCCCGAAACAGCTACAACAACCATCTTGTTTGTATTACTTGTAACATGATGGATTGTCATAATGTGTGTGTGTGTGTGCGCGCACACACACACACACACACACATAAAAAGAAAGTACTATGTTTAAAATTTTTTTCCTTCTCACATTCTGAAGTGAGTAGAAATAAAAACAAACTATTGTGGCACCTTTAAGACAAACATACTATGTTTAAAAAATTTTTCCTTCTCACATTCAGAAGTGAGTAGAAATAAAATCAAACTATTGTGGCACCTTTAAGACAAACAAATAATAAATATAATAACATTAAATATTAAAAGGTATAATAATTAAATACTACTTTATGTGTTCAGATATTTTAACAGGAATTTATAGACTGTCCTTGTAACTGCCTTCTGTTCTGAATTTTGAAGCAAAATAATTTGGCTTGCGTTTCTACTAACTTTGGTGAAATTTTTTTATATGAGGGTTTTCTTAGCTCTACCATCATCCATCATTTTAGCAGCAAATAGAGCTGTTCCCCTCATAGCATTGTTTTTGATAGGAAAGAAAATGTGCCTGTATGTGATATATCTTAAAAACTGTCAGAATCTCCCCTTCCATCAGGGCAGAGGGTAGATCCTGACAGGTGATACCTCAGATGATGGAGTATGAAGGGTATCTGTCCTTCTGTGGCAGCTTTTCCAATGGGGTCACTTGTCACTGACACTGTTTATCAGGGGACGTCAAGACAACCTGAAGGGTAAATGTGAGCAGCAGGTTCTGTGTTGCTCATGCAGATTTATTGGTGAAACTAGATGTGACACTATCATGCACTTAGCAAGTGTGTGGGTGGTGTTCTTTAAAAAGTAAATAACATCTACAAGTGGAATGGTCCAGATTGCAACCCCAGCTGTATTATTCTTTGGATCTGATTAGAAATAAGGCATGTCATGCCAGTCCTAAACTGGTATTTTTGCAACCAGCTTTTTTGTTTGTTTGTTTAAAAAGCACAAACTAAAGGTATGCCATGTGGCTGAAAATGTTCTGTTGTACAGCACCATATCAAACTTAGGAGGAGAGTCTGCCTTTTGTAAAGTTGCATGACTGGAGCTCTTTCTGTGGTTCGAAGCAGAAGCAGTGGCTTCTGTTGTTCTTCTGCCTTTGGCCACAAAGCTACTTAGGTCTGCTCATCCTGTTGTTCTGCATATGTATAACTGTATTTTAAATGTTTTTTCCAGACAAGCTTTATATGGGACCGGGTCAACTTTACCAAGATTTGCAGAATCTCTTGCATGACTTGAATGTAGTTGCCCAAATCAGTCAACTGATAGGCAGCCTGAAAGGAAACTACCAGGTAACAAGTACCAATTAACAAAGCTTGAGCTGCTTCTCAGCTATGTTTCCAGTCTAAAACATCATGATGGCTAAAGTGGTATGTCATATGAGACTGTGTCCAAGCAAGCACCAATAATCTGTTCAGACCTTAATTGGTTTATTGTTAAATGTTTTACTTTAGAGTTATAAGCAGATTATAGATGCCTTGCTGATCTTGTTTTACCTTGCTGTTCATATACGTGAATGACTGTGCAACAATAACAGGGTCTTCTCTGTACCTGCCAGTTTGTTACTGGTTAACAAAATATTATCATAAATTGCAACATTTGTTGCAAATACAGTGGTGCCTCACTAGACGATTATCTCGCAAAATGAGGAATTTGCTAGACGATGACTTTTTTTGACCAATGTTATGCTTTGCAAAACTGTTGTTCCTGTGGGTGATTCTCATTGGATGATGTTTGGGTCCTTGCCTCGCAAGACGGTTTTTTTTAGACCCCAAGATGGTTCCCCCCCCCATTGGAACACACATTAATTACATAAGACCTACTTTTTTATCCCAAAAAAGTGGGGGAGAAAGTGTATGCTGCTGGCTTTCCAGGGTCTGCTTCCTAGAAAAATAGCAGCATACACTCCCCCCCCACACACACTTTTTTGGAATAAAAAAGAGCAGGTCTTATGTAATTAATGTGTTTCAATGGGAGAAAAAACCATCTTGCATGGTTGCAAATTTAAATGGTAGAGAATGGTGAAAATAGCCAGGAACCAAAGGGTAAAGAGATTGTAAAAACACCAGGGAAATCACAAGGGCAGTCCCTCATTAACACAAACTATGCAGTTGAGTTCCCAACATTTGGGGAAATCACTGGGATCAGCAACACACCCAAAGTGCAATGGATTAGCCTCTCCCTGGGAAAACCACTTTTATGACATGTTATTTCCTTCAAGGTATGAGTTAGAATGGTCCTTGCCTCTCCTACCCCCTTCTGTCCCCTAACCCCCCAAGTCATGGTGACCCCCTGGCTGCACCTCCC